TGTATGAATATTATTAAGAAATTTAAGCCAAAGAAGTTTAAGAGACACGATAGAAATGATGGTGGTAAAACTCATATAGGATATATCGCAGATGAAGTATTGAAAGCAATTCCTAAAGAGTTTGAAAATATTGTATGTCAGGACAGAGAATATTTAGGATTAAATTATTTAGTTTTACCCGTGTTGGTTCATAAAGCAGTATTAGAATTAAATGATAAAATAGATAAACTTGAAAAAGAAGTTAAGGAATTGAAAAAAGAAAAATCTAAATAATAATATATAATGGGTATTGGTCAAAGCAAAAACGAAGAAAATAACAGTATGGAAGACATCAAAAATTTAAGAGTAGATGAAAAAACGAGAGCGGATACTTTAATAATAAAATCTATTCAAGAATGTGTAAAGAGAATAGAAAAGTTAGAAAATCAAAAATCGGACAAACTATTATATAAATTACCTGCGTTGAATTTATGCAACGCTTCATTGATTTAATTTAATAATATTAATATGATTCATTAACATTATTAATTAAAAAATATGAATAAAATTTACTAATAAAACTTTGTCTTTCATAATTGATGACTTTAATAGTTATTTTTTTAACTTGTAATGAAATAAAATTAACCATATTACGGCTATACGTGAAATTAGTTTCATAAAGGTCTTTATTAAGAAAATAATAAATATCAAATAAATTATTTGATGTTAAAGTACGATTACGAACATGATTCAAACAAGTAAATGAGGTAGATGTAGCTAATATATCGTATTCAATTAATAATTTTAATGGTTTATGTTCTTGATGTAATTTACCTAATTCACTTAAGTTAAAAACATATGATATACCATTATTAATATTGATATTATCAATTTCAAAATATTGCATATTATTTAATTTGTAAGACTTATACACTGGTTTAAATTTATTAATATATTTTTTAATAATATTATTATTTTTTATTTTTATTAATCTAAAATCATCTAAAATATACGATATTATTATGTTTTTAATTTCCATTGGTAAATAATAAAATACCATAATATATATAATATATTTATTTTTTAATTAGTAATTTAATTATGTGTTTAATCAATAATTTCAGGTGTTTCTTCTGGTTGTAATAATTTTAGGTATTCTTGGTGTTTTTTGCTTTTAATATGCTTTGCTTTACTATCATAACATATTGACAGACCACACTGACACATTATTTTTGCCCGCCCCCTTTTCCTATTACTTTCTAAAATGTTATCATAATTTTGAGTTTTGTATTCTTTGTCTCTTTTCCGTATTTCGTCTTTATTGTCTTCTCTGTATTGTTTTCTTTGTTCGCTGATATTGTCTTTATTGTTTTCTCTGTATGTTTTATTTTGAGTAAGTATTCTATCCTTACAATCTGTATAATATTCACTGCGTGTTCTTCCTGCGACTTTCTGATTTAATGTCGCTAAATGTCTTATCCATTCACCTTCTCTCTTCAACAAATGTTCTTTGTTTTCACAAGGGTAATCTTCTATTAACTCAATGTAAAAATTATCTACACCTAACTCTGCCATTTTCTGATAAACAAAATAATTTTGTTTTTTGTCGTTCTTTTTCTTTTTATGGTCGTAAAAACGCTTACTTAATGGTTGGGTTGTAGAACCTATATAAATGTCATCATTTACAGTATTTCTTACAGAATATATCTTTCCATTTTTATAGTCTTTCGGTTTATTTCGGTTTTCTTCCATAATACTATATAAATGTCTATTCTTTAAATACTAACTTATTCTTAAATATTGTGTGAAGTTTTTAAGAAACATACGGTTTGGGTCTTTTTGGAGAAGGTCAATATACAAAAAACTATGTGGTTCGTCAGTAGCAGTTTCATATAAATCATAAATTACTTTCTTGCTTTCGTGTAAGTTGTTTCTTCTAACAATTGCTGATAGTTCATCTTGTAGCAACTCAATTTCTTTAAAATTTCTCACTTTATAAAAGAACAAATGTGTAGCATTTACTCTAATTAATGGTGGTAATGTATTAAATTTCTGAATACTTGTTATTACTGATATACCGTTATGGCGTCCTCTTACATACAATGAGTTTAACAGTTTGTTATGTCTCGCCACCTTAGGGTCATCACTTATATCATCCAAAATAACCAATATGGAAAACAATTTTCTTAATTTGTTTCTTTTACTATATTCTGTTATTTTGTGTTGTGTCTCTATCACTTGTTCTAAATCTTCTGCCTTAAACTCTTCAAATAAGTAAGGTTCTTTTTCATTATCCACCTTCATTTCTTCTTTTATATATTTTTTAACGGGCAACCACACACTATCAACATTGATTGAAGGAGACCAAATATATATTCTTTCAAAACAGTTTTTGTATATATCAAGTATCATATTAATCAATAAAACTGTTTTACCGCTTCCTGACGGTCCAGTTATGATACTTCTGAATGGCAATTTTGGGACGACCTCATGCTTACTTTGCTTAAAGTCATATTTGATTTCATCAATTGGTTTTACATCAGGCATAATAAAAATAATATTAAAGACATTTAGAAAATAATTTAATATTTATTATTTTATATGAATAGAAGTTATTCAGATTATATTGATATAATAGATGAAATAGAGAATATAGAACAAGTTGTTCTAACTGATAATAGATTTAAGAAAGTATGCTATTTTATTTTAGAATTAATTAAGTTTGTGATACAATATATTAAAAATATAAATATTAATATAGATGGGGAGAAAGAAAAAGAATAAGACTGAACCAGTTGTTTCTTCAACTGATGAAGAAAAAGAAGAAGTTGTTAAAGAGACATCAGTTATTGAGTTTGCTTGTCCAATGTGTAAAAAGATGTTAGAATTAAAAAATGAATTAGAAATACAAAAGAAAGGAACTTGTAAATGTTCGTGTATTCCAACAAGCTTCAAAATAAGTAAGAATGATAAGAAAATGAATATTGATAAAACTAAAGACAGTATAAACTTAGAAACAGATGTTCATAATATTGCTATCAAATGGGGGAGACATGCATCGCCATCCGATAATGGCGATAAGGAAACTCAGGAAACTGTTAAACAAATGATGAAAAATTAGTATTTAAAGAGTAGGTTTAACATAATTTAAACATTTAGTTTTAAAAGTTTTATTTTATAATATAATATATATATTTACATGGATGAAGGATTAGAAAAGATGGTTAAAAAACTGAACAAGGTTTTAGAACAGAATAAGAATATTTTGGAAATCTTACAAGAAATGGAAAAGAAGAAACCGATAACAAACAGTTATAAAAGTCAGGAAGTAGATAGAACCAATGGTGAATATAAAAATAAAAGAAATATTTATTTAAACAAACTTAATAACAAAGAAATTAAAGAACCGAAGGCTTCAACTATGACATTTTATCAAATTGACTATGATGAAGATACGGGGGTTTATTCATAGATAATATTATCTAAATATCTTTAATAATGAACTTATTAGAGATGTTTAGCGGAACAGGTAGTGTTGGACTTGTTGCAAAGTCGCTCGGTTTCAATGTTATTTCATTGGATTTGAAAAATGCTGATATAAATACTGATATTTTGAAATGGGATTATAAACAATTTGATAGGAACCATTTTGATTTTATTTGGAGTAGTCCCCCATGCACTGAATACAGCATAGCAAAAACTAGGGGAATAAGAAACATTGAATATGCTAGTAGTATAGTTTTAAAAACTATTGAAATTATCAAATATTTCAATCCTAAGTATTTTGTAATCGAAAATCCACAAACTGGATTATTAAAAAATCAGGAGTTTATGGATGAGTTTGATTTTAAAGATGTAGATTATTGTAAATATGGAATGCCTTACAGAAAGAGAACTAGGCTTTGGAATAACATTACAACATGGACACCTAGAGATTTATGTAAAAAGGATTGTGGCAACATCAGGAATAATAAACATATTGAAACTGCGCAGAGACTGCCAAATGGAAACGAGGAAAAATGGGGAGACAATCCAACAATACATAAACAGGAAGACCTATACAGAATACCCGAAAATCTTATCAGTGAAATTTTAATGAGTGTTTGACACATAGGGCAAGTGTGTTTGACACATAGGGCATGTGTGTTTGACACATATGGCAAGTGTGTTTGACACATATGGCATGTGTGTTTGACACATATGGCATGTGTGTTTGACACATAGGGGTATGTGTGTTTGACACATAGGGGTATGTGTGTTTGACACATAGGGGTATGTGTGTTTGACACATAGGGGTATGTGTGTTTGACACATAGGGGTATGTGTGTTTGACACATAGGGGTATGTGTGTTTGACACATAGGGGTATGTGTGTTTGACACATAGGGGTATGTGTGTTTGACACATAGGGGCATGTGTGTTTGACACATAGGACATGTAGTTATGCTTGTTTCATACTATAATAATAACATGTAAAATCTTATATGTTATAATTATACTGTACTTATGGTTTGTAAAGATTGAAATATTTTATTTTTTCTTGATTTGGCTGACTCTTTCAAAGTGCGTTGTTTGAACTTGGCATGCTCTTTTGATTTTTTCGTGCTTTGGCTGTTTGTATTTTATTTTGTTTGATACTCTTCTGATATTTTTTGTTGGTATGTTGCTTTGTTTTTGATTTTGTGTGTTTTTGAGATTGGGTTCTTTGATGGTTTTTATTTTTGCTGTTTTGTTGGTATGCTTGTTTGAATTACTTAATGTTGTATGCTTTGATTAAATATTTTGTTGGGGGTTGTTCTGGTTTTTGAGTTGCTTGGTGGTTCTTATCTTGTTTTCTGTGAATTTTGCCGATTTTGTTGTATGCTGTTTGATTATTTGGTTTTGATGTTAGAAGTGCCATTTTATGTATTTTTTCCCCCACGGGTCAACATGGGGATTCCTCCACAGCTAGCGGTTTTTTGGGTTCCGTGTTAGGATGCCCACCCTGCGGCCACCAGCTGAAGCGAGCGCTCCAACTCGCAGGACCTCGGCTGAGGCTTGCGGAGCCGCCCCTGGACTTCTGCTGCCCGGGGGCTCAAGGGGCTGGAGGGGGCTCAAGACGGCCGGGCCCGGAAGTTGAAATTCTGCCAAGGCCCAGAATTTGAAATTCTTGGCAGGGGCTTGGTTGGTAGATTGCCAAATTGAAGCGAAATGAGTCGCGATCCGAGCAAACAGTTTGCAATGGCCCATTTGCGTTCCCTCACCTCTTCGGATCTCTTGGGAGCCTCGGCCTCTCTGCTGACCCCGGGTTCAGCATGCCGCGCGGGCCCCCCTTGCACTGCATGGCATTCGGAGGCGAACGCTACCGCATTCTGGCGTGGCTGCTCTCCGAGCTGCGGCAGGACAAAGACCGGGCGCTCTGACTGGTTTCTTAAAGCAAACATTTGAAGCGTTCCGGAAAGGCTTGGCGAGATGTGCTAGATGTAGTTTAGCCAGAAAGTGGCGAGCGCATTATGCTGCTATGCTGGTTCGGATCTGTGGAATCGAATGGATTGAGTCTGAACCATGTGTCACAAATGACTGAATTCCTCATGCTCTTGGGCAGGATTTTGGGGGAATCCAGCCCAACCACCCTGGAATTCGGTCCCCGGCATTTGCCTCTGGATGCTCCCGAGCTTGGGCGTAGGTGCGGAGTGGATCTTGCTCCCTGAACGCTCCTTTATATCTGTATTTCCAGCTGTGTTCGGATCGTGCACAGATGCAAGTGACACTGGTGCTTACGCAGAGCCCGCCGTTGAAGCAACGGACCCTCTAAGGCAAGTAATTGTGTCGGCGTGCGGGGCATACCAGAGCCAACCAGCCAACTCCGGCTGCCCTTCCAGCCATTTGACGGGGACAGCGGGAAACCCATCCGGGGTGAGAAATTCGTTCTCAGGACCTTGGAAAGGATCACCTCACCTACGTGGAGGTTGGCGTGGTCCAGGCCTCAGAGACCTCCGCGAGTGCGGGAAGCTTCCCGCACCCATGGGTTTTTCCCTGGCTGCCAAGACGCTTCAGCCTTTGCAGATGCGGATCCTGCACTCTGCAGGGGTTGTCGGTTGGAATCTGGCTGCCGATCCCGCCGCCAGCTTCGGGAGGCGTCGGGAGCCACGGCCCTGTTCCTGCTCAATCGCGAGGAGCCCCGGTGTGCCTGGCTTGCGTTGGCTCGGGAAACAGGATCTGCATCCAGGTTGGACGAGGTACTCCAGATGCTCTCCGCTGGGCGCAGCTGTTTCTACAGCTTGGACTTTAACATGCACGATTTTGCCAAAGTGACTGCAAGTTGAAGAGGGGAGCTTCTCCGGATTCGAGGTGTCAGGCCAGCTCAGTGCTCAATCCATCCAATGAACTGTCTGCCTCCCCGCTTCCTGCCATGAGCGGTTTATAATGCCTTCCTCCCTTTTCCCTTCAGATAGGGATGCTAGGCAGCAGGCAACATGGCACTTTTGGTGGGTTGCATGCGTAAATCATAATGCTATGTCGGAGCTTTGTACAAACAGCTGGGGAGCCCTTCATCGCAGCATCACATGTCGCCGCGCCGAAGCCGCACGCCGACCCGCGTGCGTCTTGCGCTGGAGACTGCGGATGCGGCATGTGGTGGCCTTGATCGACGCTTGGCATGCTGCAAGAGGTGAGGGTTTCAGGGGGCTAGCGGTTAGCCCGAGATTTTTCATTTTTTTTGCACTTTCCCTCGCCATTTGCGACTATATAGTCGCAGGTTGGAGATCCCCAGGCCCCAACCTGACAGTTGAAATCCGGAGTCCGAGCGGAGGGCTTGCCCTGGCTCGTCGCTGCGGTGGAGGACAGGGCGGACTGCGAGGCTCGGCCGGGCAGGAGGCGGTCAAACATGAGGTTGGGTACGGATCTAACATGTAGATGCCCCGGGCCACAGGGGCCTAGAAGCCTGAACATTCACCTTGTTTTTATGGCCGGCTTGAGGGCCTGGTGCTGGTGTTTTGCGGCCAGCGAGGGCGGGGACATCCTCCAAAGAGCCACTCAAGTTGGATTCACCACACTTTTCGGTCTGTCGGTGCTCAGGCCCGAGAAGTTGTTGCTTGCGGTTAGCCTGTCTAACCCACAACGCCAAGATACCAGTTTCAAGTCTTTTTTTTGGCAAGGCGTGAGTTTCTTGGTGAAGCGGGCTGCTGTATTTGCGGCAAACAAATGCCCCTCAGTCCTCAGGGTTCCTCAAAGGTCATCTTCAATTAGCCCGAGTTGGCTTCCAAGATTCGTGGCCGATTGCTGCGCGGCTTTTCTTGGGCAAGCCAGCTGAATCCACCTCACCAACACTGGACAGTGTTTCACTAACAACTTGTTAAACATCTACAGCGCCCTGTTGTTACATAGGCCTGGGGCTTTTCGTTGTCAGGGGAGCGAATTTTACCGCACCCCGGGTTTTGCGCTTGTACCGGGGCTCAGCTCATTATTTTATTTTTTGTTGGGGGGGGGGCATACCTCGGAGTCCTTTGCCAACGTTGGCCGAGCTTTCCCAAGCGGGGCCGATGATCCGATTGAGGCGCGGGGCGGCGCCTTGATGGCCGTGGGCTTGCAGGTGGCGAAGGGCGCCTTTGGGCACGAGGTGCTGGAGGCCGAAACGAGAGAGCCGAAACGGGCCGGCCAGTTGTCTGCTGTTGGCATCTCATGGATTCTGGCCAACAGGCTTCATGGCACGCTTGGGCAATGCCTTGCGGCTGCTGTTTTTTAAAACCTCCGGTTGCAGTCATATCAGTTGTTGCTTTTTGAGGCTCCCAGTTGCTTTGCACCTGTTGCTGATACCCTCACGAGGCAAAAAGGCGCCAGGGATGGGGAATTCTCGGCAGGCAAACCCAGAACGCTGAAGCCAAAAGGCTTGGTACATGATACTTGCGCATTTTCTGTTTATTTGGTTCCTCGCAGCCATGCCTGGCTTTCAGAAGGCAGGCATAGTCGGGCAGGCAAGGCCATTCACGGCGTGGTGCAGGTCCAAAGTCTGATCTTTTTTGATGACTTTGAAGGTCATCAAGAGGAACCCTACGCTGCCACCAATGAGCGCTTTTTGTTTGGGTCAGCCCCCGCCCTGTCACCCAGCCGCAAGTACCGTTGAAGAGCACCCCTTCTTCTCACATTGTTCACCAAGGCTGCGGCAAGCACGGCGCAGTTGCACCCCCCGAATGGCACTTTTTCACCTAGAGCCCACAAGAGACAAAAAGAGGAATACAGAGCTTTTCTGGTGCCACACGCGCAAACAAATCAAGGTGGGGGGCCCGGGCCCCGTGGCTCCAGGTTTTGCTCCGAATTCGCCCCCTCGCGCCCCCCCCCCCCCCAGCCCCTCGCCAGGGTCTGCACATTGCGGACTTCGGGGAGGAGACGGAGACGGAGGAGTGGGCCAAGGTTTGCGTGCCCAAGAACTGCGGCGGGGTCCGGGAGATGGGCACGGAGCATTGCATCAACGTGCAGCTCGGCCCGTTGCTCGTTGGAGTTGGGGCGTTTTCCGGCGTAGAAAGGGACGTAGAAGGGGACGTAGAAGGGGTCATAGGGATCGTTTTTTTTTTGGGTGTGTGTGTGTGTGATTTTGGGATGATTTTGGGGCATGTGAGGGCCGAGGGCGTGTTTTTCTTTTTTTTTCTCGGACGGCGACTGTACTCGGCGAGAACTAGATCGGTGGGTGCTTCCTTTTGTAATGCAAGCTGCCATGTTTTTGAGAAACATATTCTGCTCCAAAAGCAGACGAAGGAGCTTCTTCATGTCATAGCAGAGCGCTCACCCACATGGAGCCCAGAAGACACGGGCTCCGGAAGACCATGTTGTTCTAAAGAGGCTGCCAGGTGTTGCAGCTATGGTGCTTGCATGCTGTTGTTTTGGATGGGCCCTTACCCGACATTGGACAGATTCGATCGTGCGCTTTCATTCGCTGGATCGAGCCCAGGAAAGGGTGGCTGCTGGGTGTGCTTTTGGACGCCTACAAGGAGAAAACCCCAGGCCGCGCAACGATTGCGCCCTTTGAACAGGGCTGGGGTTCTCATGTTATCATGCGAATGGGAAGGGTTGAGGCAACAACCTTCGGAACCTTCGGTGCCTTTCATGGATGTGAGGCAAGTGAAGGTCCATGCACAGGCTCCGTGAGAGAGATTTCTTGAAGTTTTCTTTCCGAAATGCAGACAGCTCAATTCTGACGGCAAGTGTATTACTTTGGAGGCCTGCCGGAGGTTCGAGAAGACGCATAGGCCGTGTTTATGCCGATACTGGTAGGTATGCGAGTCCTCATGTAGCTTCTTGATGGCCATAGTGGGCCCAAGACGGTGCAGAGGCTCTTTCCGGCGCTTTGAGACAGGTGCTCTTGGCTCTGATCACCTGTTCCTGGACACCATCCGCCGTCACAGGCGGCCTGCCAATGAAGGATCGGCCCGTCCGTCTCACTTAGTCTGTCTCACTGATAGGCGCTGCGTGGGCTGCTCCTTGTGATTGGGGGATGTTCCAAAGACAAGCACCTCAATTGTCATTCACGAGAACCATAGAGTCAGCGAATGGAAGGATCTTTAGGACTAAGGTATTGACGCTTCAGGGTTTGCCCGGCAAGGTGGATGAATGTCGGTGTGGAGCCAACGGACGTTGCTAGACGGCTTCCAGAATTCGTACATGAGCTGGAGCCGCTGGAGGCGTGGGGGTTGATTGCCTTCGTTGCTGGAGCTTCCTTTGCTGTCTTGGTTGCGTGTTTATGCACGCCTGCGCTGGCAAAACCGCACCCGCTGCACACACACGCAGCACAGGCACAACACACACACACAGACAGGCACACAGCGACGCAGAAACACAGCGACAAACACAAACACAGAGAGAGCGAGAGAGAGCGTGACACACAGCACGCAGATTGACATGCACGCAGACCGACAGACCCAGACAAGTCGCGCACACCCAAACGACTACACTGGCACGACCGCACACCCGTCGAAGTAGGGACAAGTCTCATACTTCCTACATGTTAGCGAGCACATCTAGAACAGCAACACAGCAAAGATGGAAAAAATACAACGCCACGGAAGAACAATCGTAAGAGTATGGCAAGACTACAGGAATACGTTGCGGAAGGCTACGGAATATCACAGGAAGGCTGCAGAAATACTACGGAACAACATTGGGAAAAGCTGCGGGAAGACCACAGCAGGGAACATACCGCAGAACGTACGGGAAGACTACGGGATGAATACGGGACGACTAATTATGTAAAGACTGCGTTTCTCTTTGAAATCCATGTGCGCACACAGCAGCATGACTACAAACATGCGCACGCACACACACACACAACCACCCTCGCAACCAATCACAGCAGCCCACAAACAGCTGCACGGGCGCCACCTTTTTGCACTGAATGTCGGCAGCGTTTTCGTTGGATGCCGGCAGCAGGTTTTCTGGTGTTTTCTTGCTGGAAACCACACACAAACGCAAGCATGCGCGTGCAAATGGACCCACACGTGCACACGCACGTGCGTGCGCATGCATGCACCCTCACACGCACATGCCCTGATGCTGTCTTACGTGGTCACGGCTTGCAATCAACTTGGCCATGTTCTGGATCCAGACCAGCAGCTAAAGGGTGAGCAACTGCCACACACGGCCACCAGGTCACCAAGGGGCTGCCTGCTTTCCCTTGGCAGGCGTCCATCCCACCTCGCCTGGTGATCATGAGCCCCCACGCGCCGGTGGCCGCGGTCATGGCAGATCACATGGAGGCAGTTATGGAATCTGTGGAGGTCGTGTTTTATGGGCACTTGGGCAAGCATGAGGATCTGTTTGTGCTAGGACCTCCCTACAAAAGGACCAACAGAGGTCCTGCTTGGATCCTACTTGGCCCTTCACCTTTCTTTGAACCATCTGTTTTTGGAGCGTTCCATTGGGTCATGTGACTTCGGGACGTGTTTTCTGGAAGGGTTGACACGGCAGGGCGAGGCCTTGGGCCTCGTTTGCCTGCCGCCTTTCGCCAGCCGAGGGCCTGCTACCTTTGCGAGCATTCCCCGAGCTGCGTGGAGAGGAGGCAGCCCAGCTTGGCAGATGCATCCTGCGAACACTTCCACAACCACGAGGAGAACACATTTGGTGCAAAATGGCGGGGGGGGTGGGGGGGTGGGGGCTAGCCCCAAAATCATGATTTAATGGGTGTGTTTTTTTGTTTGGGGGGGGGCATCCCCAAATAATGATTGAATGCGCGGTATGGCCATTTGGGACTGGTATTTTTGTTGAATGGGACACAGCCTCTCATATTGGTGGGCATTGTGGAGCGAAGTGCGAAGGTCCCCAGCTAGACTTCATGCCCACATCGCTTCTTAAAGATGGAGGACGGGGCCCCCCAAGTTTAGGCCATAACGGTTGCGAGGGGTTCCCAATGTACAGGTTCCATAGTTTGAGTATATTCTTGGCAGTAAGGGGTGACTGGGGGAAGGTTTCAAAGCATCCCCCAGAGGCCACAAGAGATTTGGTGGGTCCCTAGCTCGTTGGGATGTGTTAGAAAAAGCAAATTTGGAATTCGTACTGGGGCGGGAAAAGGTAACAGCTCCGTGGCGAGGGAGTGGAATGCCTGGAACGAGGCTTTATGAGACCTGGCATCGCTTGTGGAAGAAGACTGCCCCAAACGTAATTTCGCCTGACACTAGGTTTAAACGAATGCGCAACGACAGCATGCCCTCAAACAAGTCACGCCAAGTCCTTCCCACCTAGCCGTCTATGTCATTCCTGTCTCCGGTCCTGCCTCTTTGCGGCTGTCTCCAAAAAGACAACGCATCATCCGTCCCCCTCCGGAGGACTCCAGTGGTTTCCTTCTGGGCCCCACGGGTTTCCCTCAGACAGGACCTGACCTTCGACACGCTTCATCTCATGGCCCTGGACGTCGTGGCCCGGGAGCGGAGGCCCTCGCTGGTGATGTGCTTCGGCCTGGCGCCCTGCCACTTCCTCTTTGAGCTCATGCCCTCCGTGCCGAGGCGTCCGGTGCGGGGTCGCCAAACCCGGAAACCCGAATTTGTGTCGCGGAGAACTTTGGATGGGCCCTTCCTCTGTCAGGCTGACCGAGAACAACGGATCGACCAGCCAGTCAGCCAGCCAGCCAGCCAGCCAGCCAACCATCCAAGTACCCAACCGACCAACAAACCAACAAACCAGTGACCAAGCAAACGAGCAAAACAAGCTTGAAAAGAACTTGGTTCCTTTTCTGAAAAAGAAACAAACAAAACCAGAGGGTGTGGCAAATGTGGACGACTTATGCAGGCTGCAGCTGCTGTGCATGAACCCCATGCAGGATGTGCCCTCCGGCTTGGCGGGGCTGATGCTGCTGGCTTTGCGGCGCCGGGCGCTGCAGGGGGAGCTGATCTTCTCGACCAACCCGGCGAACGCCTCAGCTTGAAGATGCCTCAGCAAAAAAATATACCTTTTGCAACCATTTGAAACATGTGGCTTTTTCCACCAAAATAAAGGGCACCCACAATTTACAAGGCAATGTTCAGGTGTAGAATGTAAGGATCTCTTTTCAAGACGGCCTCTGCTGGATTTCTTGAAGCTTCGAGCTCTGAGTAGTAGGAATGCCGGAATGCCAACATGGGTTGAACATGAATCCGTGCCAAAAAGCGTCCAGTGCGTTTATTTTTTGAGAGAGATTCATGAAACTCCCTCCAAAGCAATCACCTCTCGACTTTCCCTCAGCCGAACCCTGGTCTAACAGAAAGGTGACTCGTGTCTTGTTTCACCTGTGCTTCCTCTTCCGATGTCAAAATCAAAATGCAAGTCCTCATCTCCTTCCCCGTGCACAACCGAATCCGCGCTCCCAGTGAACCAATCGTGGCCCTGTCGGATCGGAGTTGACCAACCAGCCAGCGCATACAGTACTGCAACCATGGTATTAACGCTCTGGAATCCCAATGCGCTGCGGGGTGCTGTTCCCTGATTGAAGCGTCAGACTACGCCGGGTGAGGCAAGCAGTGCGGTCAAATCTCGATTCAACGTCTTTTCGGACACTGCAGCAACAGAAGAAGACCGAATCATATATGGATATGTGGGCCCAGCCCAGCCCGAGCTATGGGCGGCTACTTCAAATGAGTTGCAAGCTCATTTGGGCATTTATTTCTGACGACCTTTAGGAGCTTTAGCACGAGTGAGGGCAGGCCTTAGCCGCACTACTTTGGCTGATCGGCAGTCTCTCCAAAACATGGCTCATCCATGTTAGGGTGTCTGCGGGCACGGGGAGGCCTGGCTGGCATATGCCAACTGCTGACGCATGATGGGTGCATCAAGCAAAGGTTGGAATCGCAAGGCTGTGGCTCAGGGAAGAGTCTTCGGTCAACTGGAGTCGGGCAATGTACATTGCAGAAGCCTAGGTGTTATCCAGTCTTAACTGGATCGTGTAATATTTCGATTGTGGGAGCGACCTGAAAGATGTTCTGTTCCGCTGCATGTTGAATTTTGGGGAGGCATTCTAGAATCGAAACGGGGAGACCTACCATTCGGGTTCGGGCGGGTTTGGTGATTTTTCGGGGGATGTCCACAGGCAGTCAAAGCAAGGCCAGAGGTTGGGTGGTTGCGGCTTTGTATTCAAGCTGCTGAGACAAAATTGGGAAACAGGAGGTAGGTCATTTTGACATTTACCTGGGCTGTTTCGTTGCAAGATATATGTGGTGATGTTGCGTTTTTTGCTTTCAACCCCGAGCCAAGGTAACCACTGCCCTGCTTGCCTACCACGCAGGGGCAGAGGTTGCCGCGCGGGTGCCCGTGACCACCCTCTTCAGGCAGAAGCTCATGGAGTGGACCGCTGATATCCAGCATAGCGAGTCGGAAAGGAAGACCGTACTGATAACCTCGAGCTTTCTCATGCAGCTGTCCTCTATCTACATCAGCTTCCGTCACTTCCAACGCATCAAGGTTCGTATTGTATTTTCATGTGTTCATCAGGAAGGGGTGGTTCCTACTACAATCTCAAAATTTGGTTTCACTTGTTTTTTTTTTCCATTTGCTTCATGCACAGCATGACCAATAGACATTTGTGCGAGGGACAAAGCAGACAAACACAATGGCCAGATTTGCTAGGGGTTGAACTTTTGCCAGTTCATTTCGTAATTTCCAAGGCTTGCTGCTGCAGAGCTACCTGCAGCATTCTACTTTTTTTGAGGTGGTTGAGCACCAGCACAACCAGTTCTGGACACTGAAGAGCCCAAGTGATACTTGGGGATTCCTGCAGCACGCCTTTACCATCTATATCCCTGAGCACCCATACAAAAATTACTTCAACGATTTGTATGCCATGCGCTTGCCAATTTACACTCCAAGCATTGATTTCCTCGCCACCATGTGGCCGCTTCTGAAGTCAATGGAGAGTAGTGACTGCTACGATGGCTGGTTTGAGCGGCACATTTCACGGACCCGTCTGGGGGTGGAGCTTGACTTGCCAGAGCCCTTCAACCTGAGCGAGGATGGCTTCAACAAGGCTGGAATCGGTCGGCCCGCCATTCCGTGAAAGAAAGCAGATGTTGCAAACAACTTGTTTCAGGTCAAAGGATGTTACTTGGTGCTCGCATGATTCCTCAGGTGCGGACGTGGATGGAGCCTGCGGATTACTTCCACTTTCCTGCGGTGATGACCTTCAAGGGCGCCGCGGATCTTTACAGCCCCACGGCAACTCCCTTTGACACTTGCGCAAAGGGAGGGGTGCTCGGGGCTGAAGACAAGGTCCAGCTAAGCAGGCCCAGCATGCCGTGCATTCGGTCAAGCTGTTTGTGCGTATTTGTGCGTATTTGTGTTGAGGGACTTACATGTTGTACACCTTTTTCTCGGCTTGGTCCCATGCATTTGGTGGTCGGGGTCAAAGCCAGACAGCACGTGTCATAGAAATCTCTTTCCGGCGCAGCAGCCATCGGGAAGGCAGGCTTGGGCTCGGGATTTGCCCCCCCTCGTTAGGAAGAATCAGGGTTTGCACAGCCCCACCGCTGTTGTCTCCGCAAGCATTTTTTGGAAATCCGGTGGCCTGTGCGTTTCATTTGCCCGGGCTGGCACATTGCGTTTCAGATTGTCAGTTGCACGCACAACCGCGAGCCCCGTTTCTCGCGTTTGTTGGCGTGCATGTACCTTGCTAGTGAACACTGCGCGCACACCAAATTCACGTGCTCGAGACTGCTCACTGAAAACCATTGGCCGGTTTGAATACTCTATGCATCGTACTTAAATCGATCCACTATTCGGCGACAAAATACGTCGGACGCAAGAACATGTCATACTTCTTTTGGCTCGCTTGTGGCTAACAGGTCTGGCGACCCGTTGATGGCCCCCTGGATGAGGCCAGATCACGTCGCCGGACATTCCAGCGACCCTGGCGACCGCCAGAGACGCCATGGCCGCCTTCGCGCGGGCGCGGCACGCGGAGTCGCTGGGACAGTTCGCGCGCCTGGCGAGCCTGGCAAGAGACAAAATGTGGGCAAGCGAGCGCAGTCGCAGCGCCCTGATTGGTGGATGAGCCAACGGCAAGTTGCACGGGGCCCTGAATCAGGCTTTCTGATGGTGGCCAAATCCAACGCGGATGGGTAAAGAGAAAAGGCATCAAGATTGAAGCTTGACCATTGCACACTTGCAGAGGCTTACATCTAAGGGGCAGGGGGTGTCACCAAAAAAAGCTGGGCGTCCCGGGCATTGGATTGAACAACGAGTGGTCATCCAGCATGGAAGACAGCAGTGCAGGCAAGCCAGCTGTTCCAAAAGCATGACTTGAAGCCTGAGCTCGGAGACAAGCCCGGAAGACTGTTTAGCGGGCCGGCTTTGGTAAGCGGAGACACCCCTTCTCAAACGTGAGTCAGTGATCAGACTTCTGTCCAAAATGCGGGGGGCCCTTTCAGGGAGCTCTCCGCTGATTCGCCTTGAGACCTGGAAATTAAGGCCAAGAAACGCTCAACCGAAGGGGACATGGCTGCCTGCTGTGCCTGTTTTTGGGCTTCTGGCGCATTGGGGTCCCATGCTCTTCAGGCCTTCCATGGCTGGAGGCGGTGCTGGTAGAACACGAGCCCCAGGTGGGCCCGATTGGCCATTGGGGCTGATGGGTCGATGGGCGTCATTTCATAGCTTTGAGGCATCGCGTGGGCCCCCAAGCCCCAAGCGACGCCCTGAAAAGTGCAGGTCAGAGCCATTGCCGTGGCGGCACCATATTCCAATGAGTAAGTCGCCCAAGAACACAATGCGCATAAGACAGGTGCGCAGTGAAATTATGCATGTCCGAGTTGAATTGCAAGCGGGCCTTAATACAAGGGGCGTATGCATAGGCCTATTTTTGTTTTGCAGGTGCATGCATACATAGGTGAGCGCTTCGACGTGGTGGGCGGCCAAGATGATGTAAACAGCATGTAATTGAAACCAATCCCTGAGTTGCCAAGCCACGCCCAAGAACCAGAGTAAGTTGATAGTATGCTGCCATCTTGGGTGTTGGAGATGGTTGCCAGCGTCGCCTGCCATCAGACGCCTTGTTTCATTTAGATGGGCGGGTGACACCAACAGCACGCCCTAAAGGCAGAATCCATGTTTGTGCTTTGGTTGGACATTCCAATCAAATGCCAACTTCTTTGATCCCAAAGTTGACACTTTTTGAGGGAACCGGGAACCCGGGGACGACTACCCCTTTTCAGCAAACAGGGAATCACGGGCCCAAAGAGTTCAATCCGTTTTTGGACGAGGATTTGGAGGAGGGAGAATCGGTCTGCTCTGCGTGGGGAAGAAGGCATTCTTTCGTCGCCACCGGATTTGCAGCATCTTTTGGGACAGCTTTGTCATGGCAGTGATGCATGCTTGCAGGCTCAAGTGGTTTTGTGTGCCTGGTGGCCTGCCATTTTCCTGTGGGCGTTCGCGGAGAACGCCCATGTGGGGGGAACTTCCCCCCGACGTCACCAAGCACGAGCTCCGGGTCCTGGCGGCGGAGCTGGCCGCGCTGGGGGTGCCAGACCAGGCCACCCTATCGCTCATCCAGGTGGCGGGGAAGGAGGAGGAAAAGGAGAAGCCAAGGATTCAGGAGGACGCTTACCTGCAACATTGATTGTTTTTAGGGCCAGATTTCCCATCAATCGCTTGGTTTTTGGTTGCCGCTCCTTCCCGCAAGTCAGGACAAAGCAGCAGGCAGCGATGCGAACGTCCGGGTGCTCCAAAGTTGGGCATCCAACAGGGAGAGGCTAACGGGATGCCAGCCAACGAGCCTTATCTGCGACCGAGCCAGGGAAAAATTGAAGAGAGCTTTGCCAGTCATTCTGTGAACCCAAGTCGGTGCACTGATGAGCTTTGATTAGCAGCCCCTTTCTCTAAGCAAGACGTACCCTTAAGAAGTTTCATTTTGAGCGGGGCCATCCGCCCCATAGACACTCCGGATGCCTAGTTTATCTTGACTTGCTGCGGCCCCTTTCTGTTTGTGTGCCCGGTCAACCCGCCCCTCCCCCCCCACAATGCGCGCGCATCGGTTCAGATTATTTCTTCGCCTGCCTTGGCCTCTTTGAATTGTACCCTGGTGACTGCCCGCTCTTGTGGTGCACAGGGCTTGTTAGCGTTGATCCCCTAGGACTGCTCATTATTTCTTTGGACACGCGACGGATGTTTGCCCCCTACAATAGACACATAGCGGACGCTTCTTTCTTTGCCTGCTGTGGCCCCATTGAATTTGCACACGGTGTCCGACGGAATGTAGACTATTCTTCTTTGTTTTCGTGCTGTGGCCACGAGCAAAACGCAGCTATTGTCCAACAACCGCGCGGAGACCATTGGCGCACGAAGTGCTCTTGCGGCTTGTGTTTGAGGCCCGCGGCTTTGATAAAGTTTCTCGTTGAGGGAGCTCGTTCTACATTACCCCCCAAGTCTTTCGGTGAGCGGCCGCATGTTCGGGGCTAGTCGCTTGCAGCTTGCTTGTGCGCTTGCAAGACACACCTGTCTCGCCGTGGCCTCAAGCTTGGAGTTTGGACCCCCCGATTGCGCCTCACGTCCCTTCACCAGCTGTCGCCATGTCTTCTCAAGGCGCGTGCTTCGAGGGGAGCAGTTTGGGAGTTAAGGGGGGGGGAGTATAACATTGTGTTCGCAAGGCCGGGCTCTTGCGGGCCTGCGAGCGCACGAAGCAGACGCATGCCTGTCTGTGAGCTACTTCTATCAGATATCAGTGTTAGCGCGGGACTCTTGAGAATGGCAGTGATTCTGCGAAGCGCTGCCAACAACGTGAGGTTTGAAAGAAGGCGAGCAACCGGACACAATTGTTTTGCACGTGTCTTCTCTTTGCGCGCCGGATGCGTGTTCTACGCATGTGCTTGGTTCTTTGCAACGCAGTCCTGCGCAAACAGACTTGTTCTTGTTAATCCCTTGCGCGTTGCCCGCCTCGGCCCAGCTGAGCGCGCTTCGACCGCAAGCAGCGGAGCTGGTCAAGTGGCGCTTCAGGAATGGACAGGTTCTGGCGTTGTTGGACAAGGCGATGCGTAGGACCAGGAGTGAGTCATGGAGCCAAGAGTTGCGCACAAAGTCCCGACAACCAAAGCAGAGCTGCGGGGGCGAATGCGCGTGGCAGTCTCGATCGACTCTGTTGGCGCACGGCAGGCTTGATCGACTGTGTTGGCCTGGGCCTGTGGCTGGGTTGGGTGGGCTGCTGGCTGGGCCTCGTCAGGCAAGTCTCAGCACGCCAGACAGGTGGTTGCGCAGCCGGACTGGGCTGCTGGTTGGGTTGCTGGTTGGCGGTTCAGACACGCCAGACACAGCCCCTGGTTAGGCTCCCAGGCACATCGCTGCACTACAACACGCCAAACACGCCGGCTGGGCCGGCTGATTGGGCTGGGCCTGACTCAGACAGGCCTGGCCAGGCCGGGTGTGGGGAAGGGGACAAGCAGAGTCTCACTGGAAAGAAGCTTGATCTCCTGCAGGGCCTTGCGTCAAAGTATTCTGTCAGGAGATCTTGCCCCAAGAAGCGCGCAGCATCTTGGTAGATGCCACTTCTGCTGTAATGCGGGCCTGCACCATTCTGCAGCATGCCGGGCTAGCTCAGTTTCTTCATTGCTTGCTGCGTGCCTAGCGTCCCTGTCCGTTCCTGTGGCTCTGCTCTCCTTGATTTTGTGTTCAGCCTCACAAACTACTGCCTACTGGCGCCGAGCCAAACTTGCAATAACTCCCAGGTTCACAAGTCTGAGACGTCGGGTGCCTCATTCCTCTGCAAGCTTTGTCCGGAATGTTCTCAACAACCCAACCTTGGACATTCCAGAAGATGGCTGGTAGGGTGCGCGTTTCAAGGAAGAGCCCTCAGAGCTTCAAGGTGCCTCACACTCTCTAGACTCTAGTTGAAATCGTGTTGGGGTGAGCGCTGAGCCCTTGGCGGCATCATCGCGCCAGCAGCGCGAGATGCTGCGGTTGCGAGAGAAGTAGAATGTGCCGCAACCTGCGGCATCTTCGCCCGCTACCTCGACCGCCAATGCCCCGAGCGCGATAAGATCAGAAAGCAACACGGCTCTCTCAGTTCGATGCTGCTTGGCACGATCAGTTGGGCCTACTTGGACGTGATCAAGGAGGAGGACTTGGGCGCATTACGAATGATTTGGAGCACCACGTAGTACATGAGAGGAGTTTGGCGGAAGAACATGTTCCTCGATCGCCCATCCAAGCGGATCCTACCACAACTCACATGAACCTTCAAGTGCGGCCCGAACTGTGAGAATCAGATTTCTTTTTCAAATTCTTCCACCGCGGCCTGCTTGGAATTATTGTGCAACGTTCCATCAAGGAAGCTAGGCGGGCTAAAGCCGGGCCTTCAGCTACGTGGCGTCACGCCTCATTGACGAGAAGCAGTTTGCGGGCAGAAAAGGCATGCAGATCATGGGGACACAGACCAAGACAAACACTACGCAAAGTAGTGGCCTCAAGCCAGAACGATTCTTCGACTTTTTGGGAGAAGGTGTCCAAAGAGCAATTCTAGCACTTACTTGAGAATCCAGGACTCCAACTTTTCAGGGCTTGGTGGAGTCAACCAAGTTGACTTGCGGAGCTGGCTGGCCCAGAGCCACCTGCGGCGCCTGCTGGGATCTACTGCCCAGAAGTCCTCAAGCTCTAATGCAACTACGAGCGCAGGAACTCATGCGCTACCAGACAAAAACTAGAGGACGATTGGCCCGAAAGCATTTTTCCCCAAGCGCCCTTCCAGCCGCGGAGACACCTTTTTACATCGATGCGGCAAGCGTGTCTGCACGCGGCGATGCTCAAAGAGAAAATGGTCACATGAGAGCTCCATCTCATCGTCCTACAAGAGGAAACATGGCAGTGTCTGCGCAAGCTGCATTGTTCCCGCAAGTTGCTCTCTGCAAGCTGCTGCACGCAAGTGGCTCGACATCTGTCTTCAAGCTGTTCTGTGCGCGCTGCTCTGTGCAAGTTTCTCTCCGCAAGACGCTCGGCGCTTGTATCTGTGCGCAGGATGCTCAGCCTGAGCTGAGCTGCGGAGGTGCTCCGCGCACTATACGTCTGCGCTTC